CCTATTTTCATGCTAGAACCTGCATGACCTGAGGATCTACCAAGCCAAAACGAAATGCTTAATGGGGAAGCAGTTCCTGTGGCACTTCCGTTGCGTGACTGGATATGCAGGGTTTTCTTTTTCCATTTGTTTTCATTTATGCAGTGCGTCTGTGTATGCAGCGTGTGTCTGTTTATGCAACGCATTCATGTATTTGCAGCTCATTTATGTATATGCATGTCATTTGCCCCGTCAGCCACTGTAATAAACAGATAGGTTTAACACACGCATTTCTTTAGCGTGGACAGTGCATCTGGATCAGGTAGCTTTTTCATTAAAGACACTTTACAACCACATCATGACAGGTTGAGGTGGTGATCTGTGATACGTACCTCCTCTGAGAGTGGAGAGCAGAACTTAAAGCTGACTGGCTGCAAAAGAAAGTGACAGACAGTTAATTTACACTTTTGTGTCTTACACTGGCCTTCTATTTAAAAGCAACAAAAGTCAGTGTGTTCCACTAAATCAGTGGAAATCTAGTTTTATTGCTGTACCTCATGCAGCGCTCACATAATATATAGTTTTATGTAAAGTTGTACTAACTTAAATTGACACTTAGAAACTTGACAGCCAAACAGTGTTATCCCAGTACAAGAGTACCTGGGGTTATTGGGAATAATAAAACTACCATGTGATTACTACAGTTTTGTTATCCCATAGTGGTCTTCTTGTCAGCTGTCACTCACAATAATAACAATACAGAGAAAAAAAGGTAGAAATTACAGTGTGTCAACAATGTAACGGCTATTTCCAATGTACAGGAACAGCTTGGATACTTACTTTCCATTGTTGAGGATGACGGTGCAGTTGGGCCAGCAGTCATGGTTGGCCAGACACAGGTTGGGGAAAAGACCCACACCAACGGCCTGCAGACCTCTCTGGTCACTCAGTGTAAATCCATTACACTTGATCTACAGAAACAGGGTGCAGGAAGGGAGCCGTGGGTTGTAAAGATGCTTTGGCTAGTGCAGTTTAAACACTCAACTTAGGTGCATGATAGTGAAAAATGAAACAAGACTAACAATCCCAAAGATGTGTGAGATGTAGTCGACAGAGTGCTGCTTCCTTCCGTAAGACCAGTATTCCAGGAAGTTGTGCACATCAGTCTGGAGCTTTTTGAGTTCTTCTTGGGACATGTCGGCCACATGGTCCTCCAGCTGGTCCACTGAGACCAGCTGACTGTCTGACACAATGCCTGTGTCCTTGTGCATACGCCACAGCACACGAGCTGCCAGGCTGGACAGGGGGATATGGATAGATATGAACCAGTTAGTGTGGCCACTGATTAAATCCTACACTTACCCTACAAAACAATTGAATAGGAAATTGTAGTCCATTATTGGACTGATTGTAATCCAATAATGGTCAACATCTGTGTGCTTTTTCTAATGAGTTTTATTAGTCGATTGACTAAATGATTCATTTACTTGTTTCATGTGCAAGACTCTTGGAATAAGAAATATTGTTATAGCATGTATATGACCATGTGGGACAATAAACGTGGCAGACAACACATGCTCTACAAATCCATCCATCCATCCGTCCATCCATCCATTATCTATACACCGCTTAATCCTCACTAGGGTCGCAGGGGGCTGGAGTCTATCCCAGGTGACTTTGGGTGAAGGCAGGGGACACCCTGGACAGGTCACCAGTCTATCACAGGGCTACACTTAGAGACAGACAATCAAGCACACTCACATTCACATCTACGGACAATTTAGAATCACCAATTAACCTCAATGTGTTTTTGGACCTTGTGGGAGGAAGCCGGAGAACCCAGAGAGAACCCACGCTGCACGGGGAGAACATGCAAAAAACACGCAGAAAGATCCCCGTGCCCCCACCGGGACATGAACCTTCTTGCTGTGAAGCAACAGTGCTACCAACTGTGCCACCTTGCAGGCTGCTCTAGAAATGATGTTCACATTTACATAATAGAAAGTTTATAAAGTTTGTCATGGAGATAAGATCTTTAGCTGAGGTTCAGGAGCAGGACCACACCCCAACCAATCCACTTCCTGCTGTACATCTATACATACTACTCTGCCTTCCCACTTGTTTGTTCTTGTGCCCCACCCACTCTCTTTTTACTTCTGCCTCCTCTGCCTGTTTTCTCCTCTTCGAAGGGGTGCTCCTTCACGGGAACCGCTGCTAATCCCATATTTAGCATTTCCCCACATCGCATCAGCTCATCTAAGTCATCACCAACACAACACTTAATCGCATTCAAACAAACAATCAACTTCAGTTTGTTGGTGTGGTCCAGCTAGTGAACTGAGACCAGTAGTGGAAGA